ATATGGCCATTAGTGTGATGTTCTTTCTCCTTTTAAAGTCACTTTAAATATATTTTACCACATCTCATCATAGGTCAGTGGCTTCCCAGGCATGTGCATATTTTCTTGACATAGCTTGTTCTTTTGTCAGCTTATTTTCACCGGACATTGGAGAATGTCCATTAGCATGAGATCCAATCTACAAGGTTTCAATGACTATGCAATTGTAGTTACAATCGTTTATAAGGTTGAAAATTCATTAATAGCCACTAATCTTTTCAGTCTTTGTGCTTTTCTATAGAGACATCTCAGACCCTATGTATTTGACCCAGGCCTTTTTAGCTTTCATGCCATTTTCTCCTATATTTTTGTACTAGTCAAATTACCCCTTAGCATGAAGCTTAAGAAGATGTGCACCTTCTTGCTCCTTTGGATATTTTGGGATGGATGCCCTGCATGCTGACCTCCCCTTTTGCTCCACATTTCCTCTTTCTCTTCCCCATTTTTCTGGGTTAAATTAGTATCCAGAGCACCTCTGCATCTAGCTTGTAACTTTTTCTGTTATTGCTCATTGCTTCCCTCTTCCATTTTTCTAGTCTTCCAAGGTTTTTTTTTTTTTTTTTTTGCTAATTTGGGATTACCTAGTGTTATAAGATTCTAGCCATTATTGCTGTTATTGTCTGCTTTGAAAATTTCTGGACAAAAGAAGAATATTCATCCTAAGGCTTTTTGAAGATTAAAATGACTCAGGAAAAATATCTACAGTGTGATTCCTCCCCTTCCTCGCACCACAGGCCTCACTTTGTATTACACAGCGAGGTTTGCAGGTGTGCAGCTTTTTCCACTAACAACCTTCAGGGCTGGGCCCATTTTTGTGGCTATACCGGACTGAGGTTGTCAGTAAAATAAAATAAAAAAATAAGAAGGTTATTGCCTTGCTGCTCCTCTGTTACCTTACCTGAGATATAATGTTCGCCAAGTAAAAACAAAAACACTTGTCACCTGAGGATGAATTCTTATCCTTCTCTGAACTTTAAAGTACAACTTTTCAGAATTATAAAGTAGGAAGGGTGCAGGGTAGAGAAAGCAACCTTTTAAAACAAAGTTCAAATCAATAATAATTAACATTTCCTAGCCTCTATTTTCCTGCTAATAACCAAAGACAAGTACTAGTTAGAGAAGCCTCAAGTGTCTGGATTTCTGGACGTACCAGATGGTGCTGCATAAGGACTATGCATCGTGCCAGGGAGAAGCCTGGGTTGCTCTTAGCTACCACCTCTCCTACATCTTGACCTTGTCCGAGGACATTTAAACATGCCCAGTGCTTTGCACTGAGGCTTTTTCTTTGTTCTTTATTCTCTATCTTACCCATTTCTGATTTCAGGAGGTACATTTCTGCCATGCTTAGTGAGTGCTCTTGCGAGCTTTTATTTTTACTTCTTCCTTAATGAACTTGTTCTATTCATCTTTTATTTTTACTTCTTCCTTAACGAACTTGTTCTATTCATCTTTTTCTTTTCAGATTTCCTTTGACTCTCATGTTACTGCCTGATCTCACCAGATCCCCCCTCTCCCCCACTACATTGGTTCTTTCTCACTGTTATTTCTCAAGATCACCCAAAACCAGCACAGAAGCCTTCAATTTCTTCAATAGCTAGCATTAAGGTAGTTCTGCCTCTTCAGTTTTTTTTAATTTTTTTATTATTTTTTTTGTAAAATCTTTTCACAGATTGTCTGAAAACATATGTTTTCTTCTTTTGGTTTGTACTTCAAATATTTTCTTCTTCTGCAATTAACTCTGCTAACCAGCTCTGAGAAAGCTTTGATTTTTGTATAGAAATTTTCAGTACTGTTGAGTGTTGATATTGTGTTGACAAATACTGCCCATGCATTTTTGACAATATGAAAATCATTCCTATTAGGATGACAAAGCCTGAAACTGATTATGTTTAACCAGATTCTTGCTTTTCATCAGAGTTGTTTTAGCAGGACACATTCTTCCACTCCATTTGTTGTGAAAGTCATGATGTAATTGCCCTTGGTAAAGAAACTTGGTCTTAATTTGGTGGGTTTTGTCAAAACTTTCTTCGGTGGAACCAGAAGAAAATCGCTATTGGTTACCATCAACAGTTTTGGTTTAAGTGAAAAGGGTTACTTTTTTTTCTTTTCCAATATGTTTCTCGCTCCTGCTGAAGGGTAGATGTAGGGAGACCAATTAGGAAGCTGATGCAATAATTCAAGCAAGAGACAGAAGGGCCTGAACTTTTGAAATAGCATTAGGTATGGAGAATAATTTGCATTATCTTCAAAAATGTAAACAAAAAGTGTTTCCATAACTTATTTCATAATGTTGTAAGTGCTTTTAGAGTTTAGAAATCACAGTTTTTCTTAAGTCTCTATTTTCTTTTTAACATGTGCTTTTGGTACATGGCTAACTAAGCAATTTATCACATCCTCCACTTTTGTATTTCCTAGTTTTGGAAACTATCTACTTGATGTCTATTTCAGCTTTTAAAAAATATTTGTAGGTTTTTTACCTCTTGATTATAAAAGTAAAATTAAACAAAAATAACTTGGCACTGTCACCCAGGGATAAAAATGATTAACATTTCAGTGTTAATTTCCTATATGTTTTTCCTCTCAGTTTTTTGTAGATATAGAAATAATTGAGCCGAAGAGCATATCTGTAAATATTTATATAGAATCTTGCATTTTTATGAAGCATTATGTTATGAGATGTCATTAAATATTATGAGAGCCATAATACTGATTTATCATGTGGATGCACCATATATATTTTACCATTATTCTATTGTTGATCCTTCAGGCTGTTTCCAACTCATTGTTATTTTAACAAATGCCGTGGCCAATATTTTCATGAATAGTCATTCTTCACATATATCCTCAGGATAAGTTTTTAAAGTCAAGAACTTCTTTGAAGGCTTGAATCGAATAAGTGTAAAGATGTGAATGAGCCCTAATGGCTGAAATTTCCAACTAGTTGAAGAGGTAGAAGTAGTGCTTAGCTGCTCTGCATTTCCTGTGTCCACCTCCTGTTTACCTGGTCACCACCTTGGTTGCATTGGGCTAGAAAAGAATCAATATGCAGGAGGCCTAGTAACCTGATGAATAAGTTAAAAAGTGAAGGCTATGCTCTTGATATATCAGAGCATAGAGAAGTTTGGAGGAGAAGATCTGGAGTACAGTGATGGGGAGTCCTCTTGCCTTCTGACTCATTCTCATATGAGTATAGATGGACATCTCTACCCACTATTTCAACTTGGATGCCCACATGTTTATTGACTCTTCTTTGGAGTTTCTGTTTTATTTTTGTTAAGATCCTTCTGTTTATCAGAGAAGACAGCTTTTATCCATTATGTCCTGTTCTTCTTCAGCTATTTAGAAGTAGTGCACAGTAATGAAAATGACTCGCTAATCCCTGTTATTCTTTCATTGTGGAGGGAGTGTGGTGTGGGCATACATGGTAGAATAGCAGAAAGGAAGGGGGTGCTTAACCTCAAAAACTTCTGGAGAGTTCAGTTACTAGTTTAAGGAGACGGTATAATACACCTCTCCTTGTACAAGTCAGTTCATTTGAAGATAGTTCTTTGCTTTGGGTATGACATCTATTAAGCTGAGCACTCTCAGTCTTCAAGACGATATTTTTCTTGGCACCAGAAAGATAATTTTGTTTTTAATTAAAAAAAATATTTTGAATTAATTAATTTGGCTGCATTGGGTCTTAGTTGCGGCACATGGGCTTCTCTCTAGTTGTGGCATTTGGGTTCCACAGAGCATGGGCTCAATAGTTATGGCACACGGGCTTACTTGCCCCATGGCATGTTGGGATCTTAGTTCCCTGAATAGAGATTGAACCTGCATCCCCTGCATTGGAAAGCAGATTCTTTTTTTTTTTTTTTTTTTTTTTTTTGCGGTAGGTGGGCCTCTCACTGTTGTGGCCTCTCCCGTTGCGGAGCACAGGCTCTGGACGCACAGCCCCAGCGGCCATGGCTCACGGGCCCAGCCACTCCGCGGCATGTGGGATCTTCGCGGACCGGGGCACGAACCCATGTCCCCTGCATCAGCAGGCGGACTCTCAACCACTGCGCCACCAGGGAAGCCCTGGAAAGCAGATTCTTAACCACTGGACCACCAGGGAAGTTCCCAGAAATATAATTTTTTGATCTCAACGATGTTGACTGTAGTTTTTCTTGATCCTTGTTATTCTGAGGTTTTTTTTTTTATGTTGATGTAAAAAAATGATTTATCTTCTTTAAAAATGAATTCTAAAATAGCAGACTAACTTGGGGCATTCAGTATTGCTATAAAATTCCCTTTTGCTCTGTGAATAACTTTAATTCTGATTTTTAGAATTTCCAGTTATTAGTTAATAATTCCTTTTTCAAATTTCCATATTGAAATTAATGATCAATCTTAAAGTAAAATTATTTCAGCAACTGCAGTTCTATCACGATCCTAGGAAGCTAATTACAGGAATAAATAAAAATGGTTACAAATAGCATTTGTATCTATATTTAAAAAGCAATTGACCAAGCAGATGTTGTTACAGATTTTTGTCTTTGATATGATAAATTTCCCATTAATTTTGAAAATCTGGGTTTAAGGGATGTGCTTTCAGATTTTGCATAGTTGAGCTGCAATTTGTGAAAGTTCAAGCAGCTGTACTGACAAACCATTTGACAAATTTGTAACTGAGGCTGTTTTAAGCAAAGTTTTAGAGCTTTATGTTTTGTATTTTATGTTCAGACACATGTATTTGAATTTCTTCTGTTTTTGTGGATCTAGAAGTTTGTATGTTTGCATGTGTTTATTCTTTCTCTCTCTCTGATTTATATGTATATTTGTGCCGTGCATGTGTGTGTGTATGTGTATATGTATACTTACATTGTACATCCAGCCTAAGTTGGTTGTAAGGATGCATATACTTCATCTTTTTTTAATAAAAAATATTCAGTTTAAGCTCTCACTATATAATTAAATTTTTTTTTCTTTTTGCCTAGGTTGAAGAAATTGTGGATATTGGATCATTTGCCCCAGAAGACATTCATATTCCTAAGATTTATGTACATCGCCTTATAAAGGGAGAAAAATATGAGAAAAGAATTGAGGTAATTGACTTAGCTTGTCTGTCAGTATTTATGGATCTGACTGTCAGAGATGTGTCCCTGGGGCTATTCTAGATGATAAGGAATTAGAGCTGAACAGGAAGTCTTGCTCTGAATCTTAATAGGAGCTTCTCATGTGTCTATCTTGAGGGGACATGATTGTCTATGTAATTGTCCAGTTCAACAGTTCCTTGTGTATATCATCAAATTACATGCTTCTCTAGGCTGTGTCTTCTAGGCTTTTGTAACTGTCCTAATTTATGATGCATAGTTTTGGCTGGCTGTCCTAATGGGTAGAGGAGGATAATCAGGTCTTCGGTGGCTTTACCCCTACTGGACTCTTAGTGTTTGAGTGTTCAGAACTATCTATCTATCTTGAAGTCTTTGCACATTATAGAGTCCAGACAGAACATCATTTCCCATGAGTGTTGGGCTCTGGGCAGCTGGTGGGTATGAGATCATGGCAAGGAGTGGGTACCGGGAGCATTGGAGGTACTCTAAGGCTACTGAGAGCATGAAGACCAGCTGGACCAGAATTGATATCAAGATTCAGAAGTGTCTAGGGATCGGCAACAGAATAGACGTGAAGTAAGAGATACCGTGGATTCAGAGATACCCTCTACCCGCGGACATCAAACAGAAAGGCATTCTGCAATCTAAAACTAATGTCAGGGGCCAGGGATCAAAAATGGGACATTTGCAAACAGAAACCAGAGTCTGTATCAAGGAGATTTAGTAACGGAAATAGTTTTCTGGCTGGTTTCTGGATATTTCTATGATTCAGTTATAGCAAAACCAGTCTAGACTCTGCATGTGGAAATAGGCAGTTGGCAGCAGCAATATCTGGTAAACACATTCTCACAGCCCTGCAAAAATAAAGTCCCAAGGTCTATTTCCTTTTCTTTATTCTGGCTTCATCCCAGAGCACCTGAGGAGAGTTCAGTTGCAGGAGTCTTAGAGTAACAGTAGTGGCACTCAGTGTGACAGCAACAGAGGAATTATTTGCTTCAAGGAGACAGAACAATTATATCTTCCTCTTCAAACATCTGTTTGTTTTATTTATTTTTTAAATTTACTTATTTGGCTGCACTGGGTCTTAGTTGCAGCATGTGGGATCTAGTTCCCTGACCAGGGATTGCACCCGGGCCCCCAGCATTGGAAGCGCAGAGTCTTAGCCACTGGACCACCAGGGAAGTCTTTTCACTTACATTTTAAAGAATTATTTCTGTCATCAAATTTTATCCATAGTATTCTTTTTAAATTTAAAAATTCTCTACATTATATTGCAGATTTGCCTTATAGTAGTAATGGGAGAGAGTTTTGTATTTCATTAGTGTTAAAATACAAAGTATACCTCAACCATGAATAATTTATTTCTGTTTATTTTAAAGCGTTTATCAATCCGGAAAGAGGAAGATGTAAAAACCACATCTGGTAAACCTGGAGATAATGTAAGGGAACGTATCATCAAGCGGGCAGCTCTTGAATTTGAGGATGGCATGTATGGTATCCTTTATTCCTTGCCCCCTGGGCTGGGCAAAGACGTAGCCCTCACTTTTTACATATTCATCAGTTACTAGGCCTCCTGCATAGTGATTCCTTTCTAGTCCATTGTAACTTCTAAAGCAATTGATCAGTTTTTACAGATGTGGCATATAACCTAAAGGTATCAAGATAAATGAAATTAGAATTATAATCCTTTTGCCTTCTTGAAACAAAATGGTGACTGAAAATTTCCTTAGCTGTTCTCTAATATATAAGGAATTTCATTATAATTTGGCATATGGCTAAGGGTAATTGGGAGAAAAGATTACCCAAGGTGAGGGTTTCAAATCTCAGAAGTACTGCTTATAACCAGTGCTATTTACTTTCTCTGTGTTCTGACATTTACATACTCATTGAAACGTAAGATCCAACTTCTTAACAACCTCTTGTTTCCCCTGACAAAGATTCTGTGAATGTACCCTTTTATGTCTGATGTTTTGTAAGGGTATTCAATGAATGATTCAAATTCTGCTGTAGATATTGAATACTTTGTCAAAAAAGAGGTAGGTGAAGATGGTTTAGTGCAATTAGTGTTTGGATTTTGAATGTGTTTAAATAACAGTGAGTCTATTCACCATTTTGTTGATTTTCAAGACATCAACTGTTGAACTATATAATACAAATAATACGTATAAATTCAAATAGTGTATGATAAGATAAATATTTGTTGAATGGTGAATCCAGTAAAGCCATACTTAAAGGCCTGGGACAGGAAGTAGTAGAAACATGACATGTGTCTCCATTCTCTGAGCTTCCCCTAGTCCATAAAAATCTTCTTTCAGACTGATATTGACAGGAGAACTGTTTTTTTACTTTCTTTTTACCTCCACCACTTCATTTTTCTTTATCTTTCAGTTTATACATTGGGTTATGGTGGGAATTCACATAGGGGAAGAGAGTATAATAGTGCTTCCTCTTCCACCGCCAGTATCAGCAAGATATGGAGTCAACCAAGTGAACTGAACAGGTGAAAGCTAGTCTCTGGGTTTTCTTCTTACAGTCCAGTCAGTTGGTTTACCATTGATATTTTAACACTGACTCTATGATAACGCTGATTTTTAGATATAATGGATTCTAGGTATCCTTTATTCACTGTCATTGTATTGCCTATGAAAAATATTTGCAAGTCAGTTCATATAAATGGTCCTTTCCATAGCACCTACTCTTTTTCAACCCAAATTACATAGGCTTTTTTCTCCCTGGTATTTGACTTACTAAAAAATACTAAAGAACTGAGAAAATTATAGCATATGTTGAAAGAGGGGGGGTATAAAACTTGTAATTTGGGTTGCCCTTACCTGAAAATGCCTGCTTATAATTATAATGGAATTAATACCTCAGTGTGTTCCATGCATCACTGTGAGAAATGAAGTACAAATAAGTCTACACTAGATTGTGATTTGGTAAGAGGTGAACCAAGAAGCTATCCTCATAGCTTCATAGACTTACTGTATTCACAAGAGGTGACCTGGCACATTGAGTTGTCCTGCTGGCCTTTGTAGTCTATAATATGGCAGCATATACAAACTTTATCTTTTCTGGACTTCATTCACAAAGCACTCACTGTTATTAGAATCTCATCAGAGTGCCATCATTCTTTGCACTAATTCTGTCAAAGTCTGTGGTTTGCAGTGGTAGTGGACAGCAATTCCAGACAGCGTCAGTTTCTGTTTGTTTTTTTTTTTTGGCCAAAGTGCACAGCTTACAGGATCTTAGTTCCCCAACCAGGGATCAAACCGAGGCCCACAGCAGTGAAAGTGCCAAGTCCTAACCACTGGACCACCAGGGAATTCCCACAGACAGTGTTAGTATTTCTGATCTGGTCAGCCTGCTTGTATTGACAGGCAAGGTCGAATCCACACCACTGCATACAAGTCAGAACTTTGATCACCCAAGGAAGAAGATTTAATACCCTCAGTTAGCTCTTCTTTAAGAAAAAATTTCATTGAAGTGTAGTTGATTTACAATGTTGTGTTTAACTTCTGCTGTACAGCAAAGTGACTCAGTTATGCATACATAGATTCTTTTTCAGATTCTTTTTCATTATTGTCTGTCACAGGATATTGAATATAGTTCCCTGTGCTATATGGTAGGACCTTGTTGTTTATCCATTCTATATATAATAGTTTGCTAATTCAACCAGTTAGCTCTTTGATGCTGTAACACAGCTTTTGTTTTTATATGGTCTCAAATGTGTTCACTGAAGCTTAAACATCCCCACCATCCTGTTTATGTCTTAAGGAAGGTTCAGTTACCAATGGATGTTATCACAGTGATCCAAAGGAATCTATACAATTTAGGCAGACATTTTGGTGTTGTCATAAAACTTTTTTTAAAATTCAAAAATGGTACCCCGTTTTAGAATATTTTAATCATCTTTATTTTCAGTTGCAGTTTTGAATAGTGAAAAATGCTTTTAAACAAAGGTCAGGCCATGTTATATCAGACATCAGTCATAATAAATCATAATACAGTCCAAATTTGCTAACTATGTCTTACAATAAAAATGACCTCTTGGCTAGTTTTCTGAAGCCACTGCTTTGATATCTTTATGGGGAAGGCTGTGATTAAGAGATTTTCTTTTTGAAAAAATTACAAAATAATACCTAGAGGGTGGTGGGAGAATGTATTCAGTGATTACATTCAGAGTAAGTACCTTTAAAGAAGGCCTATGTTCAGATTTATTCATGTAGAAGATTTATGACATAATCTATCTTTTATATGCTGGACCTTAACCTCTTTTTTTCCAGCTAATTTGGGCATAGGAATACCGCTTCTGGCCAGCAACTTTATCAGCCCCAGCATGACTGTCCATCTGCAAAGTGAAAATGGAGTCCTGGGTTTGGTAAGATAGAAATTAAAGTTTTATTTATTCAATCTTGATGGAGAATGAGATATTTTATATAGTGAAATCTTCTTATAACTGAGAGTTGTTACCTTAAAGTTCCCAATCTTGTTTTTCTTTCTTTTTATCCTCATGATAAAATATTTAACTTTTCCCATAAAATGGTGGTACTTGTGAGCACGTCGTGTTGTGTTTTTTGGAGTAGATGGTGGTTTCCTGACTATGAGCTTTCCGACTGCTCCTCCTTTGTCCCTGTATCAGCTTCCGTCTCCCCTATTGCATCTGCTTCAGAGATCTCACACCATCATATTTAGGTAGTTACTTTTAACCTTTGTGTGATTGAACAAGATAATGAAGGTCATTAACAATTCTACATTAAATAAAAATCAGTAAGTCTCAGCATGAGAAACTGAAGAGTAACATTTCTACTTTAGGACAGGACATTTTTTGACAGTTGATTGATTCAAGAACTTCTCATGTAATACTCGTTTTGAGGCCACGTTGTTCAAAAGGGTAGAATTTTCCCTTCCTCAAGATTAACCTTCCAGATGGGCTCGATATTCTCATAGAATTTGGCCATTCTCTTTATTCAATATTATAATAAAATTAAGAAATACTTAAGCTTCCTGGGTAACATTTTTTATTTACTTATTAATTATGGCAGAGATTACTTATAGTCTGACAATTTATAATATTCCTAATCTTTTATTGTTTTTCAGTAGCTCTTAACTGTTAATGCAGTGCAAATTGTACATATGGAACATGTATATCTAGTATTTAAAATATAAATAATGGTCATGAGAGTGTAGTTGATACTGATTGAGGCAATAATTGTGATCACTTTCAGAAACACAAAAATGATGTGAGTCTGGATAAAAGCAGATTCATATTGCAGTCAAAGACATAAATTTTTAAGGTACCTTAAAGATTATCTAGAGTGACCAATTCCCTCATTTTGAAGACAAGGGAAATAAGTCAATATGAATTACCCATGGTCACTGTTTAAAGAAAAATTTACACAGGTCTAAAACATTAGTTGCCATTTCAATTTATTCAAAGAATAAATTTTTGGTCCCTTTTTTTGAAAGTATGTTAAAATTTCACAGCCAATATTTCCTCATTCTTGGCTCTAATTTAGACCTTTTCTTTTCCATTTCCTCCCTTTTCGTTTAATAAATGTTATGTTATGAAACTACTCCAAGTAATTAGAGATGGTTTATAAGAATACATAGAAAATTAAAAATCAAAAACTTAGTGAGAATTACCAGGCAAAAAGAAAATAAAGGTATCAAAACTTAGATGGACTGAGAGATAAGGTTAGAACTCCAAATCCGAGCCTTTAGGTGCTACATACCAAAAAGCTGAAACTGCTTCTCCAGACCCTTCTAGCCAAATAAGGCAGCCATTTAGTTTGTATTCATTGATATACTACCAGGAAGATTTCTGAATAACATCGGCTGCATAGTAGGTACTAAATAATTACTTTTTTATTGACCTGTGTTTCCAACAGCTTAACATTTCTTTCAGACTTTGGTAGTTTTTAGAAAATATTTTTCACTTACCCAAGCACAGTTTTTAGCATAGAAAAGACAAATCAACGTGGAAAACAGAGCCACGAAAACACTGGGATTATTTTGAAAAGGTTCACCTCAAGTCTTTTGATGATTTCCTAGGGTTTTAAGCAAAGTTACTTATATTTCAGTTTTAGTGTGTGATTCAGTGAGAAACTTCTTTTCCTAATTGAACATGTGCTTTATTTGACAGGGTCCTTACCCATTAGAAAATGAAGTTGATGCAGATCTAATCAATGCAGGTAAACTCACTCATTACATGTTTTTCCAGCCTTCTCCTTTGCTATTGATTTAGTTCTCTGCCAAGTAATAGCAAAGAGTTGGGCTTGTTTCTTTGTCTTTTCCTGGAGAGTATGCCACTGTATTTTTCATGGAGGAAGCGAGAGAGAAGCCTTCCTAGTGCCCTCTTGGTCCGGATTGCCTGTCAGAGGTCTCCCCTATTTAGGGCAGAGTAAGATAAAGGAGAAATTGCAGGAGGGGCTACATATAATGGTAGGAGCTTTGGTGGGTCAATCAGTCAGCGTCCTGAGAGCACTCTCAGGTGGGGTAACGAGGAGAATTAAAGGAAGGGACAGTTTACAAGGGTGCAGACAAGATTAAGGGAAACCAGAAAGGATGCTGAAGCACCACAGGGAGTTCTTATCACTCCTAGGCCCTAAGGGGCAGCTGTGGGAGAGGACCACCTAACAGGAAGCAGGGTCTTTGTAGAGGAACACGACCATCTTGCAGAAACCTGGGTGAGGGTGAGAATGGAGGTCTTTTCTGCTGGGTCTCCTGCTTGTGCCTCCCATTGACCAATCCCAGGTTGAAATAGGTCTGCTTTCTCATGATGAGAAGGTGGGGAGTGGATCGATCCATAGTGGCCAAAATCAAGATCTGGTGCACTGAGGTTTTTGTTGTGGTTAATAATTACTGTCCTCTAGTCGACATCAGAGTTAGGAGAGCATCCTTCAAAGGTTCAAGGGTGCTTAAGGATGTACTCTGCCACTCAGTGCAACCCAGTGATGTAAGTAATAAATACAGAGTTTCTTTGTACTGGGGACTCTAGCCTGTCTTCTCCTTTATTCCTGCATTCATATGCTTTGCCTTTTATTATTAGCCTTTTATTTGACTGGGACATAGGGTCACATGTAGCAGCAGCCTAGAGGAGGAAAAACAGGTCAGACCTTTTGCCCATGCTTGAGGCAGCACTGCCACCATGTTAGGGCTAAAGATTATCCTTAGAATGGGGCTGTCCATAAGAAGCTAATTTTTATATTCTAGCATGTTTTTCTTTACTGTTCTTCTACTCCTGTTCGCTCTACCCCCGCAAAAGTATTATTGTTGCTTCATGTTCAAAAACAGTGTGTGTAAATTTCAGAAGAGAAGTAAGAGCTGAACATAAAGGCCAGCTGCCAAGTAGAATTGATGTTTGATGCTTAGGATTTTTGAAAGTAAAACAGCTTCTGGTTGAATAGTTGAGTTAGTTAACACAACTCAACTCTGAAAGGCCCACTGTGGTAAAGCAATGACATTTAACCAAGGCTGTAATTTAATTGTACTGTACCCTTTAGCAATAGCTCGTTGATCTGTGAAAATATTTGCTGCTTGGTTTAATTAATTAATGTTAGTGAGTTATTTGCAAAATGAATAACTCCATTTTCCAAATATCAGGCTTGAGCTCATAAAACCCACTTTTTTTGGAAAAGTAGCTAATCTTTTCAATGACATCATTGGACAGCAGGCATTTCTGATTCCATTGAGCTTTAGCTCTATCCTGATGAAGCCACCAGTTTTAGATGTCAACTTCTGAGATATCACGTATAATCTTAAACTACTTTGTAAAACAAGAATTCATTGCTTTGGGGAAGCCAGGCTGCAGAATAGTTTAATAATATCCTATCATTTTCATCAAAGTCCTGTTTGGAACTTATGATGCTTTTGACTTTGGAACTAAGTTAGGGAGGAAATACTTTGAACTTGAGAACCCAGAATCTAAATTGGTGGTTCCGCAATTCCCCAAGTTTGGAAATTACTAGGAAGATCAGCCCATTGTTTGTGTTAATTTGAAATTATTTCTATAGAAATCCCTTGGAAGGAATATAAAGAGTTATGTTTCTGGGCATAATCAGTGTATTAAAATTTTAAAATAATACAGCTATTTCTAAGGATCCCTTTTTCTAAATAATAATTTCATATGGTTATATAACAATGAATGACCACTTGTATAGTACTACATAGTTTACAGCATACTTTTTTCAAATATATTAAATCATTTGAACCTCAAGTGAAAACTTGTTGTACAGATTGGGAAATCAAGCCCAGAAAAGTGACGTGATGTTCTCAAGATCACGTTGCTAGGGACTGGACTAACACAGGGTCTCCTGCTCCTGGCCCCCTGGCCTTTTCTGCACGTTGAGCTATATCCACTGATAACCTGAGTTTTACAGAGGTGCATAAGGCAGTGCTTAGAACATTTCCAAGGTCCCAGGAAGATTTGCAGTATCCCAATGGAATTGTGAAATTTCTAATAAATCTCACGTTAGCTTTCATATTAATGTGCATTTTGCATTCTTTCCTATTTCTTAATATTACTTTCTTTAATATCAAAATAATGTTTTAAATGACTTCCTTTTGATTAAAACTACTTAGAAAGAACCACCGTGTTAATCTCACAGCTTTTGAATATCTGTGGTTCCTGCCATGTACCTCTAGAGCAGTGGTTTTCCGTGGGAAAGAGGGGTGATTGCTCTCCCCTGGGGACATTTGACAATGTCTGGAGACATTTTTGATTGCCAGTGTTACTGGCATTTAGTGGGTAGAGGCCAGGGATGCTGTTAAATATCCTACAATAACCAGAACATTTATCCAGCTCCCAGCATCAATAGTGCCTGCTCTAGAGGTCTGTGTGCCACATCTGAAGAATCACAGGCCTGAACATTAAAGTTCAAATAGTATGGCATTCAAGATCTATCTAATGGTTGTGACTGACCTTTTCAAATTTATCTTTCTCTACGCCCTACAAGGTCTTCTGAGTCCACCCATACTGAACTGCTGGATCTTTTCTGACCATGACTCGTGCTTTCCTTTCTCTGTGACTGCTCTTGCTGTGCCTTTCATTTTTTGTTTTGTTCTATCCCTTCCTTTTTTATCCCCGTCTCTTTATTGGTAATGTCCTATTGAAATGCATTATACCTATCCTTGAAATCCCAGTTCATTTGTCCTCTCCAGATCCTTCTGTGGCTCAGAAGTGCTCCTCCTTCAAACCCACAACACATCTAGTGTCTCATAAGCATACCATATTTTGCCTTGTAATTATTTGTGTATATTCATCTCTCTTGCTGGGTATTATGTTCCCTTTTCTTGGGGCAGTGGTTCTCAAAGTGGTCCCCAGAGCCACAGCATTAGCATCCCCATCACTGGGGACTTGTTAGCGATGGAAACTCTCAGACTCTAGGGAGCTGAGCTCAGCAGTCTGCATTTTTATAAGCCCTCCATGTGATTCTGATGGGTGTTAACGTTTGAGAACCATTCGTTTAGGGCATCTGCATTTTGTGTGTAACATTGTTCAAGGCACAGAGTAGACATTTACTTGATATTGAGTGAATGACATGTTATATCATGAGCCAAAGGACTCAAAACTATGAAATTGAGTAACTATTGCCTGAATATCATTAGAGGATATAGACATACACAGAGCAAATTTGGAGGAGACAGAAATCAATTAGGAAAAATCAAATAAGAAAGACCCTTTTCTTTAAGATGTTGATTGTGTTATTGATGATAATTGTTTCTTGACTAAATTTGGACATTGCATTTGAAAAGCATGGATTCAACTTTAGGATACCTTTTTTTGTTTAGATTTTGGATATTAAAAATGATGAAAATTAACTTTGCTTCCAAAGAATGTATTTATAAGATGCCAGAATGTGTTAGCAGGGGCCTGAGAATAACTTTGTTTCATAAGAATTATTTTCTGGGCTCTTTAATAAAGCCATCCTTCATAAATCACATGGGGAGAGCTGAAGCTCTCTGCATTGATCTCAAAGTTTCCTATAAAGTGGTAAATAATGCCTTCTACCAGCTGGTTGAGACGGCCTTTTGGAAGTCATTGTGATTTATCACATAGAGAACAAATAATTGAGAATTTTTTGTTTCTCTGCATTTTCAGCCTGCAAGTTCTTCCTTGCCTCTCCACCTCACAGGATTGGTGAGGAACTGTATTTGCTGGATGTGAAAGTTGTGTTAGGATAAGGTCTAGTTGTATTACACTTGTCCTGAAACCTGGAATTCACGGGCTGGTGTATAACCCCACCATAAAAGTGAATTGCTTGCCCCTGTAGCATTTATCCCTAAAGGGGTGATGGCACTGTCTTTTCCACAAGCAGGTTTGCAGTGAGGAATAATAACAATGACAATAATAAAAGTAATGTTTACAGAGTCCTTTCTCTATGCCAGGTACTAGAGTTAAAGACTTCACATGCACCATTTCATTTAATTCTTCAAATATTATGTGCTGTCCAAAAGCCAGCCCCTACTAACCGCACCAGAAAGTATTTTCCAAAGCTTTTCAGCTTTGTGGTCCTTTAAAAGATGTGAAAATGTTTCCTTTGTTTAGAATCAAACTTTTTTGGCCAATAAATAATTCAGCATGATATAGTCTTACCCTTGCTTTACAGTTGAGCTCAAATGGAGCAGGGTACTGGTGGAGAAGTTAGCTCTCAGGGAAGACTTGAGAAGTTGAGGTTATAGCTGTTGTTACACAGCTGAGCACAATCAGATCGGTCTGGTCCTGTTGTGTCCAAGAGCTTCTCTCTGTTCTAATCTTGGAATCACTTTTCTTCCCCTTCTTTTTGTCTGCCCTGTCACACTGGGACCATGGCATGAGGTGTTATCAGACAGTTGACTTACCTTTGGCAAAGTGGCATGTGAGCACTTTTCTACTGAGACCAGAAGCTTCTCCTAGGCACCTAAAGCTCCTGCACAGACAGGTCGCAAGAAAAAAGCAGCTCAAGTTTGAGTCAGGTGATATTATAGGTTGTGTGGGGACTGGATGACCTTGAAGAACTTTTCCAGTTCTGGACTTTTATTATGAGATGTAAGTTTTGTGAGAGGTCCTTCCAAGAGGACCTTCTTTGGTTTTAATAGAAACATAGGAGCAAGGGAAGAAAAATGAAGCAGAGAGAGAGAGAGATGGAAGAAGAGATTCAGTCCCAGTGATGTTAAGGAATTAGGTGGGACCTTTCTTTCTAGGTTATTTACTGAATTTTAAGAAATATCTGAGGAGCATCTCCTGTGTCACTCCCTTCAAGTTGTATTCCTTCATGTCTGTTCCACAATATCTTTGCTCTAGTGACTTACAGTAGCATGGGTTTTGACAGGTGCATCCCAGCACCTCCTTTCCTCCTCACTCCTATTAGCATTTAACAGGGACTTGTGAAGGGACTGAGTCTGGTGGGAGGCGGGGATGGTTACATAATAATAGGCAGTAGAGGGGTGCATTGTCTGTAGAGAATTTCAAAGCAATAATAAAATTAAAAGTTGGGCTGCTTTTTATTATCACCATGCAAGGGCAAATCTGAACAATGTTAGTGACAAAATGCTCTTCTTCATAGGTGAACAGTTCCCCCTGTGTCTCCCATACCCCTGTTGCTGCCACATTTTGGTTAAGGGACCCTTAGTTCTGTAGGAAACAGAGAAGGTATAGACCTCTGTCTCCACCATGATTTCCACTCTTAGAAATCTAATAGCCTTTTCTTTCCTCTTTTTCTCCCGTGTGTGTGTGTTTGTGTGTGTGTGTCTGTGTAGGCAAGGAAACAGTTACTGTTCTTCCAGGAGCCTCTTATTTCTCCAGCGATGAATCATTTGCGATGATTAGAGGGTATGTAATAACGGAGCCCCTCATGTTTCACATGACGTTTAATGAGCTGAGTCATTCCCTGAGTCTGTTAGCAAGACTCTGAAACATAGACATCTCTCCCAGCCAGAAAATGATCATGGGCTTGTTTGGCTGCACCAAGATGTGAAATTATTCACATTGAATGTTGGCAGTTGGAACTTCCAGCCCGCTATTATCAAAGGAACCCTCAAAATGGAATATATATCTGTGCCAACTAAACTGAAGTAAACACTTTTAAGGCTCTTTCTGAGGATCCTAACATTTTCTACAAACTGTGTTTTCATTTTCTAGCTAGTGTTTGCTTTCAAATCTAGCCATATTCTCCCTCACTGAAGGAAACAAACTCACTGTGTGTACACCTGTTTTTAATTTGTTTTTGGAGACAGTATAGGCTATAATTTTTTAAAAAGAACTCTTAATGGTTATTTCTCTACATTAGCTTGAGCCAATCTATTTGGAAATCAGGTGTTGAGTGGAGGAGAGCAAATGTACTTTGGTGGGGGGGGAGGTTAGAATTATTTATTTTCATTGCTGGCAATCTCAAGCAAAAGGGACATAAAGCTTGTGAAGTTTGCTTTATATTTCTTCTTTATCTTTCTCAGGGGACATGTCAATCTAACAATGCTAGGAGCCATGCAGGTTTCCAAATATGGTGACCTGGCTAACTGGATGATACCAGTAAGTAGACATGTTTTCTTCTGAATTATGCCTGGGTCAGAATAGTTATTCTTGAAGTATTAAGAAAAATCTTGTCAAATTGCTTTGAGTGCAAATATAATTGTTACAAAAATAAATATTTTGATATGTATTTCTTATTTCAATCAAATTCTAATAAAGGAAATACTGAAAATATTTAGCCTTGCCAGTTTACTGTGTAGTTGGGACTAAAAATAGGTAAGATCAGAGTCAAAGCATAATTTTCCATGGAGGAATAGAAAACTGAGGAAGGTAAAAAAGAATGGGTTAATTATACTCTGATAAAAGTAAGAAATACAAATATTTATTATAACTCAATTTTTATAACTAGAAAGTACAATTAAGTTCATTAATTTTATGTTAATTCTATTATTTTCTTATTCACAGTGATTAAAATCCTCTCTTGATTAGTCATGTGACCCCATGAGTAATCAATCACATTTTCTTCTATTATGGAATACAAAACCTGTGATGTTTAAACATGCTTGTGAAATGCAAACAGTGTTCATTTACTAATGACTTAGGTCAAGGAAGGAGCCTCTTGGAATTAGCTTTGGAAAAAGGACTGTCATCAGTTGATTTATGAGTGTGGTTCTTTACATTCCTGATTGGTGCTTCCTGACGTGTATATGGAAACAACAATGAATGTGTGTCTACGATTATGAGCTCATTTTGGCTGGTAGCTGAGGTTACTCTTTTTTTTTTTTTGCGGTACGCGGGCCTCTCACTGTTGTGAACTCTCCCGTTGCGGAGCACAGGCTCCAGACGCGCAGGCTCAGCGGCCATGGCTCACAGGCCTAGCCGCTCTGCGGCATGTGGGATCTTCCCGGACCGGGGCACGAACCCGCGTCCCCTGCGTCGGCAGGCGGACTCTCAAACCACTGCGCCAGCGGGAGGGGGGGCGGGGGGAGCCCTCAGATTACTCTTTTAATGTGTGTGTTTAAGGATTTCTGCGTGTTTCTCTGAATTATCAACTACAAGGAATTTAAGTAACTGAGGCTGATGTTCTATGATGAGAGTTTTTTGTTTTTTGAAATTTCTTAGATTTTTCTCTACTCATTTTTTGAGGAAGGTGGATTAATATAGTTTATAACAATGTTAGAGATTGTGTTAGTTTAGCTTTTTTGATCTATGATCTCCCAAAACATTATTTTAAATTTTCAATTTTTATTATAACCTGGTTCTCAAACGTGGTTGCATATTGGAAGCACCTGGGAATTTTAAAAACTGGTGATACCTCGGTGCCCCCCCTTAATGATCCCAATTTAATTAATCTGAGATATAGCCTGGGAATTGGGCATTTTAAAATCAATCCTAGGTGATTACAATATGTAACCAAGTTTGAGAACCGAGTTTGTGTGTATTAAAGAATGATCATCAGGGACTTCCCTGGTGGCACAGTGGTTAAGAATCTGCCTGCCAATGCAAGGGACACGGGTTCGAGCCCTGGTCTGGGAAGATCCCACATGCCGCGGAGTGGCTGGGCCCATGAGCCATGGCTGCTGAGCCTGCGCGTCTGGAGCCGTGCTCCGCAGTGGGAGAGGCCACAACGGTGAGAGGCCCGTGTACCGCAAAAAACAAAAAAATGTTCATCATCCTAAATCAGCCATAGGGATAAGAGTTAGCAGCTTTTGGAGGCTTCAAAGAAATCAGAGAGGGTCTCCTGAGCATTGTATATAGTAAGTCAGATTGATAACTTTATAGGAATGTTTATTTGTGTAGAAAGAATGCATTTCTTTTTTCAAATTTTAGAAAAAGGCTATAGGAAGTAGTAGAAGGAGCATAGAAAAGCAAGCCCTGGGTTTTAGCCCTGACTCTACCAGTAATCAAAGTGTAACCTTGAACATGTCACTTAAGCTCTTTGGGTTAAAACATCCTCATCTATAAAATGAAGATTTGAGAATAGATAATTTCAGGGGTCTCGTCTGGCTTTCACAGGTTAGCAGTTCAGAGCAAAGATCCTGTAGTGAGACAGACCTGGGTTGAAATCCAATTTTTGTCACTTACTAGCAGTGTAACTTGAGGCAGTTGCCATTTTTCCTCATCTGTAAAATGGGAATGATATAATAGTATCTAATTTATAGGACTATATAAAGGAATAAATGATATAATGCATACAGAGTATGTATCACAGAGCTTGACCCACAGCATATGCTAGATAAACAGGTTGTTATTATTTGATAAATTAAGAAGAAGTTGGAGATGCCTGACAGAGAAGGGAATAGGATTGGTTACCATGAACAGAAACAACAGAGTTTTAAATAGAGTCTATTTCTCTGAGCTATTAGTGAGTTTTGAAATCAAATTTCACAGTGGTTCTAGGTGTGGAGCAGAAACGTGTCCAACACATTTTTGCTTTTGGGGAACTTGGGCATCTTTAACAAGTTAGTATATGATTTGTTTTTATTATGGTTTAGCACACAGTGAGGCTGGAAGCTGTCATAGTGAGAGTATGCATTATGTAGTTGTCATTTGTAGGAAAGATTTTCCAACATGTATCACAATTTTACATATCCTATGGAGATTCCTGTGAATGATTAAAACATCACTGTTAATTACTTTATAAATTTCTTAATACAATTTGGAGCTCATGAGTTTCCAAAGGACTGGATCTAGTGGGGCAGCGATAGGGAACTCTGGAGTTCTGAAGGGACATGGAGAAGAATTAAGCATAAAAAGTGTTCTTGTGTCTGGTTCCACTCTTTTGGTCATGGAAGTTGGTAGTGTCATTTCTGAATGAGCATTTTTGTTCTTTTAGTAACTGATAATCACTTCTTGGATTCTTTATATGTGACGCACAGTATATATTTTGATTCCTTTGGATACAGGATAGCTTAAGAGTCAAGACTGTGAGCTCTAGTTTGGAAGAGATCTGATTTGAATTTCAGCTCTGCCGCTTACAAATTACACAATCTTTAGTACCTGTTTTTGTTAGGATTAAATGAGAAGAAAATGAAAAGTGAAGACTCCAAGCACTCCATAAATAGTGGCTATTATTTTTATCTTCTTCAATGCGCTATTGCTTAACTTTAAAGAAGGAGTATTTGCCTTAAAATACACTGGCATAAGCAAGACTATATTGTACAGTAACTAGTACAGCCTGTGTATCCAAAGTTCATATTCAAGTACCAAATCTGAAGACACATTTCTTGTTCTTATTCGTTATGGATAAGATACAGCCTAGCCTCCTTATATAGTTTCAGTGAGTGATCTATGTCTATTTGCCCCAAAGATTTATGTTGATTTATAAAATTCAGATATATTTTTATTGCAGGGTCTGGCAGTCAAGGAGATGAAAAGTTCAGTTTTATTGTATCATTTTTCACTTACTTTTATCTTTTTACTGAGTTTAATAATCTTTCAATGGTTGTAAAGCCCTGAGTTTCTCTGCATCATGGCATCCCCATGAATTATTACCATGTCAGATTATAAGAAACATTAAGCTTTTAAGGCAGGCAAATGGTGTGGATGCTATTTGTCTTATCCTTTAATAGCTTCTTAGTATGCAGCATGGGTCCCATTTTCACAGAGTTTTGAAAATTCTGCCCTGAGCATCCAAAGAGAGAAAATGTGACGAAACAGTAGTTGGCTTCTTCGAGTTCTGTGATTATTGTGATGATGGTAAAACCCCAGGCAAGCTATGGAAATGTGGTAAGATGTGCAATCCGTTGACTCTCCATTCAGAGCTGCTCTGGCTTTCCTAATGCTTATTTTTGGGAAACAGCTGTCATAAATGATTGACTTGTGAAGGGAAGTTGATGTGTATGATCAACTATGGGAGCTGTTTTTTAAAAACATGCAACAGCCGCCTGCTGGGCAATGTTGTTGTATATGAGCAACATAGCAGCCAAGGGCCTCCTCCTTTTACGTGGGGAGAATTGAAATGAGAGATTCTTGGGGCAAAGGAAAATAGAATGTTTAGGTGTTTGTTTTTCCCTAATATTTTTCATTTCTTTGTGCATTTAGAAGATTAAATCCAAATCAATGTCATATTCATGTATGCTTACATGTATGAGTACATAAAGTTAATTTGGTCTTCTATCTACGATGTCTGTTTTAAATAAGCTAACTCTCTCTCTAGTCTTCCTACTTGTACAGCTGGGGCCGGGGGTTGTGTTCAAGATTTAATCTAGTGATTTAGATCTGTCAGTTGTACTCCAAATATTAAATCTGTAGATACAGATATAGAAATATAAAGATTATGGTATAGAAAAAGATATAAACATACAGATACAGATATGATTTTAACATATTGGTGTCTTGTCCATTTGGTCCCAACACTCCGGTAACCACAAACCATGGGTAAGGAAAAAGGATAGGTGGACAATATGTATGTGATGGTATGATGCTTTTACAGTTATTCAGTAGTGTTCCTTCTCTATCAATGTAATGTAGTGGAAAGTGTACAGAACTTGGAATTAGATATACCTGTGCTTAAATAGTGTTCTGTTACTTTCTGATGGTGTGGCAAATTATTTCACCTTAGTATACTCATTTGTAAAATGAGAATATTTAACTCATATGCTTGATCTGGGGATTAAGTTAGCTCATTCAGCAAATATTTATTAGGCATGTATTAAGGGCCATGCTATAAATTTCTCTCTAAGCACTGTATTAGTGACATTCTACAAATTTTTATTTTGTTTGTTTCATTGTCATTTTCTTCAGAATATTTTCTTATCTCCCTTGTGATTTTTTTCCATGACCTACTGATTATTTAAAAGTATGTTATTTAATTTCCAAATATTTGGTGATTTTCCACAAAACTTTGTGCTAATTTCTAGTTTAATTCTCTTGAAGTCAGAGGACATACTTTATATGGTTTCCATCCTTTTAAGTTTGAGATGTATTTACAGCCTAGAATATAGTCTATCTTTGTGACTTTTCCATCTGCACTTGAAAATAATGTGTATTCTGCTCTTGTTGGCTAGAGTGTTCTATAACTGTCAATTAGGTCAAGTAGGTAGATGGTGTTGTTCAAG